TTGTCCATCTTCTTTGAGATTGAGGATTTAAGTTGTTGTCCATCTTCTTTGAGATTGAGGATTTAAGTCTCACAGTGGACATAGGTGGAATAATTTACAAATAGTTTACTATATTTGCCGTTTGAAAAAAATAAATAAATAAATAAAATAGAATAATAAAAAAGAAAGGTAATAACAACCTTTCTAGAAAATCTTTATGATAACGAATTAACATTTACAATTTTTAGATTTTATAAATGACTATGTATAGGATATGATGTATCACGCTAAATAGCCCACTTTTTTGACAAATATACTAAAAACACTCGCAACAACTAGAAACTATAAGAATTTTATAACATTCCTTTACCGTGCAATTACACCCATCGGTCGTTCAAATTGATTAAGGCAGCTTTTTGTAGATCGAATATTAAGCAAATTAAAAGCAGTAATCTTAATCCCATTAGCCAAATGGCCCAAATCCACACATTTATTCAAGAAGCCATTAAAGATGTCATTATTTCTTTAATGCGCAGTTAGCACAACATATTTTTATTGACCATATTTACAAATTATATTCAGAATGAAAGTTTTTACCAAGAATGGGCTCATTAAATGTTTTCATTGCCCCAAAGTTGTTGCTCGCTATGGAAGTTTCGTAGGTGATTTCATGAGGTTACTGAAGGTTCTATGGAACTAACAAGTGTTGCCACAATCGTATGAGCCGACAAATGAAGAGCTAGAGGTTGTAAGTTCAACTGCACAGCTCGCATAATATCATTATCAGAGAATGTTAGTCATAAATCAAGAGGGTAATTAATCACAAAAGGAGGGTAAAAATGTTCAACATAATTGAAGATGCTATTATATGTTTATATTTTTGATCTGGGATTGTGAGAAACAAGGTAAAAAGAAATACTTGTAATAAATTGTTCATCTTGACAGGAGAGATGTTGTTTTGTTTTATAGTTTTGTGAGGGACAAAGACTTTTAACAAAAAAAAATGGTTAGAATTGGGTAAATTGTGTAAATTTTGTTACATGTGCGAACTTGAAATTGGTAGGTGATGTTATGGTGCGTTAATTGATTTCCATTAATATGGGTATTTTTTGTTTTTTTAACCGGCAATTTTATTAATAATGAAATTCATCCCACTTGCAAGCAGCTAGCTTGGATGTTTAGCACACAGTGATTCAATTACAAAGAAAATGGGATAAGTTCCAATCTATACTATCTTTATCTCCTCTATGTTTAACCTAAACATACGTTAATGACGTTGCAGCAGCCACAATCCTCTCCAAATTCACTTCAATTTTTAAAAAAAATCTATCATTCCGAGCTTTCCACAAAGTCCACATGGTCCCCACTACTAGAAAACATGGCGTTTTCCTACGGAAAATAGCTACGGAAAATTTCCGTAGCTAATTAGCTACGGAATCGCTACGGATCAGCTACAGAATGGGATGCCCTAGTTTAGTAACGGAATAGATACGGAATAGCTACGGATGCGGGTCTGTAGCTATTCCGTAGCTAATTAGCTACGGAATAGCTACAGATGCAAATCCGTAGCTATTCCGTAGCTAATTAGCTACGGAATGGCTACGGAATACCTACGTATACAAATTACCTACGGATTAGCTACGGAGTATGCTTTCCATTAGAATTCTGTAGCTAATCCGTAGCTAAGTAGCTATGGATTTTTCTTATTTTCAATTTTTCGGGCACCAAACGTCGTTTTTTTCGCTTTGTTTTTTTCACATCTCTACTATACATGATTATCTTTATTTTCACCAACTTGTAGCTATTAATATCGTTCATAAAGTCGTGTGCCCCTTCGGGATCAAGTACTCGTTTCACAGTTTAAGATTGTAATGCATATATTTTTCACCAACTTGTGATGGATTATGTTTGTATATGTATATTTATACACATGAATGAGTTATGGTATATGTGTATGTGTATATGTGTATGTATACGTGTTTGTGAGATGTATGTGAACGTATTCATAAGCATTATAGTGTTAAACCACTAAAAGAGTAATGGATCCCGTATGTACACACAACTTTATGAATGATATTAATAGCTATAAGTTGATGAAAATATAGATAATCATGTATAAT